TTCTATTGCAAATTAAAATTGCATATGCAAGATTCTTCATGTATATGATGTTGAAAAAGATAAGTCAGATGCTTCTCATTAATCACTATCAAATATCTAAAGTGAGTGCTTTTTTACTTTCCTAAGCAGGATTTAAACTCGGAGTACACTTGTGATGTTAGTAGACAAATTTCCTAAGAGGTGTGCAGTAGAATGGAACTTTATTCTGCTTACAATCATTTGGGTTACATCTATATCAAGGCCTCAAGGGCTATATATGGACATACTAAAGAAGAACAACCCTAATGTATATATGGTAAAATATTGTTCCATTTTTTTCCTTTTGCATTATTTTATGGGTGCAATATCTTTTTTTTTTATTTAGTTTAAGCTGAAATTGGTGTTACTTAATGTTTCTCCGTAATCCTTAAAGCTGGTGGTACTGGAGGATTAATATATATGTATCTATATATAAATATAAAGCTTGGAATTAGCAAGGTGATGTGGCACCTTTATCTGCACAGCAATTATAATTATCTTTTTTCTCCTTTTTTGGCATTTTAACTGCCTTTCTCATTCAATTATTACTTTTAAAAAGTCTAAAATTCTGTACATTAAATAATGAACAACCATTATGTCTTTTACTGTGGAGTCCAAAACATTAACTCAAAGCCCAATAAAAGAGACGTTCGTTGGATCTCTTTTCTTCATTACACTATTTTCCCCCAAATAGAAGACGACAAACACAAGAAGCCAAATTGGAGCCACTGGTAGCAATCGGAGTTCGAAGAAATCAGCGGATACTTCATGACTTTGCAGGTATTTTTTTTCTTTTTGGTTTCTAGGTTGTCCTAACTGTTTTTACTCAATTTTGTTGTTATTTATTTTCGGAACAATTTGAGAGAATGCTATGACTACTATAAATATTGAAACTCACATAGAGCATTGTTGGCTGAAGTATTGTCAATCTTTATATTATTCCAAAAGAGGTCTTTTTGTAATTAGAACGATTTGTTGTTGTTATTGGACTTCTCATAATCTTTTCCTACGTTATAGTTTTGCATGAAATGTTGGTTTGATTTGTTCAATTTTTGGTCTATCTGTTGTGATTTGGTGCTATTGTGGGTTCCACATTGCTCTGTCCGATCTTGTTGGTGTTTCCACATTGTACTTTGGTTTTTATGGTTTGTTTTTATCTTTCCCCACTCCTACAAATATGGAGGAGCCGAAAAGGTTTGGTGGTGAGGACTAAAAAGAGCCCGAGAACTATAACTCAATTTATTAAGCTTGGGTTTCTTCTATCCTATATCGAAATTAATTATGTATCAAATCTTTTAGCTACTGTTATGGCACTAATACACTTGAATTTTCATGGTATAACTTGGGGGGTTTGTATTACATGTATCGTTCGTTTATTGTCTGCTGTTTTGAGGTACCTACATATGATTGACTTTCTTGATCTGTTCTTTTCTTTTTTTTCCTTTTTACATTAGGTTTTGGCGGATTATGAGTCCAAGCTATTTCTCTTCTTCTTTCTTTCCATTTGGCTTTCGCCGTGTTTGTCTTGAGAATGGGATTTATGTTAAGAGAAAAAGATTGAAAGAAAAAATAGTTACCAAAAGGATGCTCCTTTTTTTTTTTAATTGATGAAGTAAGATGTTATCTTACTGACATCAAGAAGTTACTACGAGTACTTAAAGTGAGGTGTTAGTTTCAAAACAACATGTTCTATACTAACTCCAGTGAGTTTATTTGAACATATATAATAAGTTGTATGATTGATTATATGGACATGTTTGTGGAGATCAATATCGGCAACTGAAATAATTATTCAAGGAGTTTAAAGACTCAAAATTAGCTTTGACAAAGTTAATCCTTTAATTGTTTTGTAGCTATTTGATTGTAATGCTACATGCTTATTTATGCTCTACTCTGTTTTTGTTATGATTAGGAATATTGTCCTAATCCAATTAGAAAATATTTTTTCTTAAATGTAATCCTTTCTGCAATGCAGGTGGAGTAGATGTATCCATGTATAACAGTAATTTGGAATCACTTTGTAGATTAGAGTTAAAATAGCCGTTTTCCCATTTTATTTGATGTAAAACATTTGAATCATACTGCCAAAAGATATAAAAATGAAAAAGATATTTTATCTTTTGTTCTCATTTTTCCTTTTTGCTTTAGCAATCATTTTACCACTGATATGCTATATTGCATGCATTCAAGATGGAATTTGAAAAGATTAAACCGATATATTTAATTGATTTGTAATGTTGTATTGTATCGATTCTTTTTCTATTCCTGACTGTTTCTTTTACCTAATTAATTTGAATAATATGTATTAATTTCTACAAACTTCTTATAAATATCGTTTACTCAATACAACTTCATGCGCTATACAATCATTTTTATATTGTTGATAAGAACTATAAAAGGATATTTGTTTCCTGNTATATGTTTTTTATGTATAGCTTTATATACTTGTTTTTTTAATTTTACCATTTCAAATAATTTTAAGATTATTAAAAAGACTCATAATATAGATGTTTGAACTAATTATATAAGCTCGGCTAATTCACTAGTGTATGTATAAAGGAGGGACAAAAAAGTGATGTGGCACCTCTTAAAGACTAAGATTACTATTTATCTATTTTCTTCTTTTTTGGATTCTTCTTCCAATTTTTTTGCTTTATCTTATTTATTAGAAGCTCAAAAGTCCTTATAGGAAAGAAAAAACTATCTTCATATTGAAGAAGCGTCCATTCGATGACATCTTAGAAAGAAGCAACGGTCACCTAAGAAGCATCCGTTCAAGCAACCCAACATTTTAACTTATTAATGGAGAAGAAAAGTCTTACTAGAAAAATTGGTAACGGAAATCAAATGGTAAGACGAATTGTGTATATCAAAAATGTTGTTGCTACTAAGTATTATTTTAATTTACCCCTTCAACTCCACATCAGTTATGATTTAATAATTGTAACTGTTATATACTTATAAATAACCACATTGAAATCTTTTTCTTCACCATTGCCTATTCTTTCATATCCACACCTCATAAATCCAAATTCTTGAAAAACTATTTTACTGATATATTTGGTATTTTGCTTTCGGGTCCCCGCTATAATAACAACAATGTAGTTTTTCGAAATGCATGGGCATGGTAAAATAGAATTGTCTGTTCAATTGGGATTCCAAATAAGGATTTGGTGAGTTTCTTTTTGGTTTCTCATTAAATTTTACTGTTTGCGAATGACCTATTCATTTTTATCTTATTATTTTCCTTGTGTAATCTCTCCTGTCGTTTATAGAAGATTTGATGGTGTTTTGAGATGGTAAAAGTAGATACTAAGAGAGAGAAGCAGACTTTTGGAAAATTTTTAAAAAAAATCCTTATGGTCTCTCTTCTGATCAATTTATAAAAGAATTGATGGTGTAAATAGATGGTACAAGTATTAGGAGCAAGAAGTGGATATTTTGTAATAAAAATTTGGATGAGAAGTTTCGGCAGGGGCGTTATGAAAAGAAAAAATCAAAGGCAAATAACAAACAAAAAGATTAAAAAGTCGTTATGGAAAGAGGTATAGGAAAAACTCTCATCATATCAACACCTCTTTACTTCCCTTTTCTCCTTTTTCTCATAAAACCCTTTTGCCAATTTTGTCATCTTCCATGGACTTGTTTCTCATAAAACCCTTTTGCCAATTTTGTCATCTTCCATGGACTTGCCTTATATTTTATACAGTTTCAAAAGTTTTAAATTTTATTTAAAAAATAAATGAATGCGTGATTATGAAGAAAAAAATGGTAACCCATTTAAGAAAAGTTATATGATCAGTCACCTTTTAATATTCTCTTATCGATAGTCATCTTTTATTCTAACTAATCTTTCTTATGTTAGCCCGAACAAGCCTGTTGGATATTGCGTAAAAAAAGTTCTCTAAGTACGAAGCCCGGAGGCATGTTTGTTTATGCACATGCCAGAGTTAGAAAACATATTACAGTATATAATATGGTTTGGTAAAAGGTACCAGTATTAATTCTATTTTTGATGTTAAAGTTAAACGGATTAATGTAATCATATAAATGCTTATATCTTTAAAATATAGCTATCTTTTATCATATGGAATTTCTAGGCTGGATAAAAAGATTATAGATCATGCATATCAAATTCCTATGAATATTTATCGAGGTAAGTTGTTTATACTATATTTAACACTTTCGTTACGTAGTTGTTCTTTATATTTTAACATTAAATTTATCTCTCATTACATATGCAATTAAAGAATATGAAGTTTTCAGAGATGTGAAGTATACAAAAATCTCACAAATGCAGATTGAGTATTTGAAAAATGAGCAAGTACGATGGAGAACCCAACTATATAAAAGAGTTTAACTATATCATATGCATGTAAAGAATGGCTGCAGATATATTTGTATATGTACAAATAATATGGTATTGCATTTACATATTTTGAATTATGTTGTTTCAAATAAATGGTGTTAAATGCCATGAATTTTTACATGTCGCCCTTAACACAGAATGAAAAAAGTACAAATCTATTTGTTTTATATTTTTTTTATTTATTTATTTCACATATCTCTTTGTTTTTGGAATTCTTAAATAAACATATAAAATTATAATTGTAATATTTTGATCGGAGAAGATAAAATGAACAAAGAGTAACGTCTAATTCTTTTAATTATAAAAATTATTTAGTCATATTTTAATTTTGATTAACGACTGGGCGTAGCGCGGGTAAATTAACTAGTTTAAGAATAACATTGGTTGACGCAGTGGTGTTGAGTAAGAGTTAACAGGTTAAATTAATCTACACTTGAAGAGTTATTTTACTCGCCTTTGAAGCTGTTTCTGAACTCAATAAATATAAGCAAAAGCTAACATTCTAACACAAATAATCCTCCATCCAGTACCTTAGAGATGTTCCTACAATAGTCATGATCCAGTCTCCTCACGTTACGTTCTTCTGTTTTATCAAGTTCTTCAGACCCATGTTTTACACTTCTAATGCAGTTTTCAAACTTTTCATACTCTGCTGAGAAGAGGCAAGCAATCTTTTAATCTCTTGTTCTCTTTCAGCGTCTCCATTCGACTGCAAGTAATCAACACAGGAAGCCAAACTGTAAATGTGTGTCTTCAACCTTGGCTCACATGCCAAGATCACTTTCTTCAATGCTTCAACTGCCTTCTCCATCTGATCGTGTGAACAATATCCGACTGCCAGATGATCCCATGTTCTAAAGTTTGGCCTCTTCCCACTCTCCAAGAGTCTTTTTATGATCGATTCAGCCTTTTCCAAATCACCCTTTCTGCAGTAAATGGCTATGAGCAAATTTGGAATTCTAATGTCAAAATATATATGGTTCACTTCCCACTCGGCAAATATCTTCTCTGCACCATCAATATCATCTAACTTTTCCAGTCCACATATCATGGAAAGATAACTTGAACTGTTGACCTTACCTCTATTCTTTAATTTGTTCCATATACGATAGACATCATTTTTCTTTCCCATACTAGCATACACGGAAAGAACGATTTCATTAGCAAGCCGTGCACTTTTCCACTTACTTAGGTGCTCGCACTTTTTCAATACCTTTGAATTTCTACATCGCCAACTTAAATGTAACCCTTGGCAGTGGGGTCCATTCCCATAAATGAAGAAGAAGAAGAAAAATAATTGTGATAAAGACTTCTAAGTCATTTTTGGCAGCCACCATTTTTGTTGAATCACTCAAATGAAGAGTTTGAATATTTCTTTCTTTTGATGTCACTGATGATATTTGTAGGGATATAGAATCTCTATAAATAGAGAGCTTCTGAGCCATTTGTAATACACCACACAGAAGGGGAAGCAACACAATAGTTGCAGAGAGTATTTCTCAGGCATTGTGAGAAATAGACTGTGTGGAGGAAAATAGAGAGTGAGCGATATTGTAGTGAGGTGAGAATATCAAAAGAGGGTTATTTCTTTTGAGTGTTGTAGTGGTCTTTGGAGTATTTTATTCTGACCTACAAAGTGTAAAAAATTTTACTATAGTTATATCAGTTGCTCCTCTCGGGGCCGTGGTTTTTCCCTTATTCAGAAGGATTTCCACGTAAAATCTTGGTGTCATTATTGCTGCATTTCTATTCTTGTTGATTTAACCATAACTTAGTGTTTCGCATTTATCACTAATATCGTGAATATTATTTTTGCGGGTCTATTATTCCCAATAAGTAGTATCAGAGCCAAGGTTCTGTCTGAGTATGCTCTGTGGTTGCAGCACAGTTTGAACTTCCACATCAGAAAAGAATTACTTTGGTCTCCTAATATATAGTATTTATATTTGTGATAAATGATGGAAGCCAACACTAGTAGAATGATTACTTTGAATGACACAAATTATGTCATTTGGAAGGGCAAAATGAAAGATTTGCTCTATGTCAAGAATTTTCATCAACTTGCCTTCACCACTATAAAGCCTGATAATAAATCAGATGAAGAGTGGAATTTGTTACATAGGCAGGTTTGCGGCTTTATTAGACAGTGGGTTGACGATAATGTTTTGAACCATATTTCTGGGAAGACACATGCTCGGACCCTATGGGAGCACCTTGAAAGTCTGTATGCTCAGAAAACTGGAAACAACAAGATGTTTCTGATAAAGCAGATGTTGGATTTAAAATACCATGATGGTTCCCCGATGACAGATCATCTGAATAATTTTCAGGGGATCATAAACTAGTTATCTGCTATGGGCATTAAATTTGATGAAAAAATTCAAGGCCTGTTTCTACTTGGTTCCCTACCAGATTCTTGGAAAATTCTTAGAACTTCATTATCAAATTCTGCTCAGGGTGGTGTGATCTCTATGGATTTTGCCAAGAGCAGCCTTTTAAATGAAGAAATGAGAAGAAAATCTAAGGGTTCCTCCCCATTAGATGTTTTGGTGAATGACTCTAGGAGGAGAAGCAAGAATTGGGGTTCTCAAAATAGAGAATATAATATAAACAAATCCAGAAACAGACTTAAAGATATTGAGTGCTATCATTGCGGGAAGAAAGGGCACACAAAGAAGTTCTGCCGGATTTTGAAAAAGGAGAATAGAACAAGGAAAACAAAAAAAAATTGCAATCGTGTGGCCACCGTCACTACAGAAGATCTTGTTACTGTCCTTGATGTGGATCTGATAAATATTGCTTGTGATGAGTCAAGCTGGGTTGTAGACAATGGTTCCGCATCTCATGTAACATCAACGAAGGAATTTTTCTCATCCTATACTCAGGGTGACTTTGGAACTTTGAGTATGGGTAATGAGACTGTATCTAGGGTGGCTGGTGTTGGAACGATTTGTTTGAAAACTAGTATTATAACTAAACTAATTTTAAACAATGTAAAGCATGCACCTGATGTTCGTTTGCACTTGATCTGTTGGTATTTTGGATGATGACGGATATGTCAGTACCAATGGTGGTGGAAAGTAGAAGCTCACTAAGGGTTCCATGATTGTGGCTCGTGGGGAAAAGCGTCGTGATCTATACTAGACTACGGCCTCTACCTATGTTGATATGGTGAATGCCGTTGAGAGCAATAGCTCTTCAACATTATGGCATAAGAAGCTTAGCCACATTAGCGAAAAAGGACTAAATATTCTGGCCAAGAAGAAATTATTGTCAAATTTTGAAAGTGCAAAATTAGAAAAATGTGAGCAATGCTTGGCTGGAAAACAAAAAAGAGTTTCGTTCCAGTCTCATCCTCCTTCAAGAAAGACAGAGTTGCTTGAGTTGGTGCATTCAGATTTATGTGGTCCAATGAAGACAAGGACTTTGGGTGGTGCACTTTATTTTGCTACCTTTAATGATGATTGCTCAAGGAAAGTTTGGGTCTACATCTTGAAGATTAAAGACCAAGTATTGGGTGTCTTTAAGCAGTTTCAGGCTTTAGTTGAAAGAGAAACAGGAAAGAAGCTGAAGTGTATTCGTACTGATAATGGTGGTGAATATTGTGGACCGTTTGACGAATACTGGAAGCAACAGGGTATCAGACACCAAAAGACTCCTCCTAAGACTCCTCAGCTTAATAGTTTAGCAGAAAGGATGAAAAGGACCTTGATGAAAAGAGTCAGATGTTTGCTTTCTGAAGCAAAGTTGCCGAATTCCTTTTGGGGTGAGGCTTTATTGACCGCCGCACATGTTATTAATCTATCCCATGTGGTTGCTTTGAAAAGTGATGTTCCAAATAGAGTTTGGTAAGGCAAGGATGTTTCCTATGACCACTTGAAAGTGTTTGGTTGCAAAGCTTTTGTACATGTACCTAAAGATGAGAGGTCAAAATTAACTGCCAAGACAAGGCAGTGCATCTTCATTGGTTATGGCCTTGATGAGTTTGGTTACATGCTATATGATCCAATTGAGAAGAAGGTCATGAGAAGCCGTGATGTTATCTTCATGGAGGATCAAACCATTGAAGATATTAACAAAGCGGAGAAGCTAAAATCTCCAATTTCTGAAGGTTTAGTTAATCTTAATCAAGTTCCTCATACAAATGTGGATGACGTTGGTGGGCTCAATGATGATGGTGATGCCCAGAACCATACTCTAGATCAGCATATTGATGGTGATGGTGATAACAATGCTAATGCTGATGAGGTAAATGCTCCTACTCACGAAGCTGTGGATGAGTTAGATATTCCACTCAGGAGATCTTCTAGACCTCGTACTCCTTCCTTCCGTTATTCACCCAATGAGTATGTATTACTCACTGATGGGGGAGAACCTGAATGTTATGCGGAGGCCATAGAAGATGAGCACAAGGATCAATGGATTAAAGCCATGCAAGATGAGATGAAATCTCTGCATGAGAACCATACTTATGAGTTAGTGAAATTGCCTAAGGGCATGAGAGCTTTGAAGAACAAGTGGGTGTTCAAAGTTAAAGCTAAAGAACATAGTTTGAAACCCACATACAAAGCTAGATTGGTTGTCAAGGGATTTGGTCAAAGGAAAGGTATTGACTTTGATGAAATATTTTCTCCTGTCATGAAAATGTCCTCCATTCGGACAGTTCTTGGTTTGACTATCAGTCTTGATTTGGAGATTGAGCAGATGGATGTGAAGACTGCTTTTCTTCACGGTGACTTAGAAGAGGAGATTTATATGGAACAACCTGAAGGCTTCAAGGCAAAAGGTAAAGAAAATCTTGTATGCAAACTTAAGAAGAGTCTATATGGATTGAAGCAAGCTCCCAGACAGTGGTACAAGAAGTTTGAGTCTGTTATGGGGGAGCAAGGCTACAAGAAGACTTTTTCAAATAACTGTGTGTTTGTACAAAGATTTTCTGATAATGATTTTATCATCCTCTTACTATATGTGGATGATATGTTGATTGTGGGCAGGAATGCTTCCAAGATTGACGAGTTGAAGAAACAGTTGAATAAGTCTTTTGCAATGAAAGATTTGGGTTATGCTAAGCAGATTTTGGGCATGAGAATTACTCGTTCGAGAAACGAAAGAAAGCTTTACTTGTCACAGGAGAAGTACATAGAACGTGTACTGGAGCGCTTTAATATGAAAAGTGCTAAGTTGGTTCGCACACCCCTTCCAGGTCATCTGAAGTTGAGCAAGAAGATGTGTCCTACAATAATGGAGGAAAAAGAGAGAATGGCCAAGATTTCTTATTCCTCTGTTGTCGGAAGTTTGATGTATGCAATGGCATGCACTCGACCTGATATTGCTCACGCAGTTGGTGTTGTGATCAGGTTTCTTGAAAATTCCAGAAAGGAATATTGAGAATCAGTCAAGTGGATACTCAGGTATCTAAGAGGTACTGTAGGAGAATGTTTGTGCTTTGAAGGATCTGATCCAATCTTGAAAGGCTATACAGATGCTGATATGACAGGTGCATTGATAACAGAAAATCCACTACTGGATATTTGTTTACATTTTCAGGGGAGCTATATCATGGCAATCTAAGTTGCAGAAGTGTGTTGCACTTTCAACAACTGAAGCAAAGTACATTGCTGCTACAGAAGCTGGCAAGGAGATGATATGGCTCAAGCGGTTTTTTCAAGAGCTGAAATTGCATCAAAGGGAGTATGTCGTCTATTGTGACATTCAAAGTGCAATAGACTTGAGCAAGAACTCCATGTACCATGCAAGAACAAAGCATATAGACGTGAGATATCATTGGATTCGTGAGCAGGTGGAGAACGAATCCTTACAGGTCAAAAAGATTCACACGAGTGAAAATCCTACGGATATGCTAACCAAGATAGTACCAAGAGACAAGTTCGAGCTTTGCAAAAAACTTGTCGGCATATGCTCAAACTAGAAGTCCGGTGTTACTTCCTTCAGGTGAATGTGTCTGGAGGGGGAGATTTGTGGGGTCCATCCCCATAAATAAAGAAGAAGAAAAATAGATGTGATAAAGACTTCTAAGTCTTTTTTGGCAACCACTGTTTTTGTTGAATTGCTCAAATTGAAGAGTTTGAATATTTCTTTCTTTTGATGTCACTGATTACATCTGTAGGGATATACAATCTCTATAAATAGAGAGCTTCTGAGCCATTTGTAATACACCACACAGAAAGAGAAGCAACACAATAGTTGCAGAGAGTATTTCTCAGGCATTGTGAGAAATAGACTATGCAGAGGAAAATAAAGAGCGAACGATATTGTAGTGAGGTGGGAATATCAAAAGAGGGTTATTTCTTTTGAGTGTTGTAGTGGTCTTTGGAGTATTTTACTCGGACCTACAAAGTGTAAAATTCTTTACTATAGTGATATCAGTTGCTCCTCTCAGAGCCGTGGTTTTTTCCTTATTCAGAAGGGTTTTCACGTAAAATCTTGGTGTCATTATTGCTGCATTTCTATTCTTGCTGATTTAACCATAAATTAGTGTTCCGCGTTTATCACTAATACCATGAATATTATTTTTGCGGGTCTATTATTTCCAACAGCGACTGTATAAGCATCCCATTCAATCAGCCGAGGATCTACTTCCATCTTCATCAAAGGCTTCTCCATCTCCTTAATATCTGGAACAGATGCATAAGCATTCAAGCAGATAGTATAGGAGAATGCATCACCAGTAATTCCCTTATCTTCCATCTCTAGCACCAATGAGTGTAGTTTCTGAAGGTCTCCCATTTTAACATAAAGGTTCATCATAATATTGTATGCCTCTACATTAGCATTCCCCGGATCCCTCATCTTTTGCATTGTACCTTCTGCTTTTCTCAATGATTTTGCATTAGTATAGCAATTCAAAAGAGCGACATACACACAAGAAGCTCTCAGATTTTCTGGGATGCTAAAGAAATACTTCTCTGCTGCTTCCAATCCATGAGCTTTTGATACCAAATACTGTCGGACTGCAACATCCCCAGGTAATAGATAAGGATGCTCGGAGTTGTCAATCCATTCATAAATCTGAGACAAAAATAAGAAGCAGGATATTGAACCTGGAGAGAGAACATAAACAAGGGGAAACGCCAAAAAAAAAAATAGTTTTGCTAGAACTAAGACCAACTGTTGCCATGGCTGAGTCAATTCTAGTTATTCAATCACTAGTTGCATATGTTAGTAAATAATGGCTCACAAACCTTTTATGTAGGTTTTTCAATACGAAACTCTATTTTAAAATTAGAAGAATCATGTCTGAATTGAATTTTTTTTTACATGATTTGACCCTCTTATTCTAAATCCCCGAAAGACCAACATATTCAAGAGGTAGCAAATGGTGGATTGGGTCAGAATAGGTTGAATTAATGAACAGGTCATAACCAACTCGTTCAAAGTTTGTTTGGATCAAACAATTGGACATAACCCAATCTGCCCAACATGACGTAACTCATCTCCTTTTTTATTTTTTCTCGAGTAAATTCCAAATCCCAAGTTTTAATTTGTGATAGAAAAGGTACCTCGATTTACTATTTGTATATGTTATTTTGTTATTATATAAATAAAGATACAACAACAACAATAAACCCAGTCAAATTCCACAATAAGTACGGTCTGGGGAGGATAGTGTGCACGCAGATCTTACTTCTACCTTTGGAAAGATTGAGAAATCGTTTCCGATAGACTCTCGACTCAAGGAAAGAAGCAAAAAGAGGTAGTAACATAGGTAATCACAACAACAAGACAAGATGGCAAGATATATAAACAAAGACGAAAGAAGCAACATTTAGTGGTAAAAATTAGGAGTGAGAAAATATGAGAATAATGTTAATACTACTGGTATATACAAAGGACGCACTTGACTACTTACTAACCTTCTACCCTAATTCGCAACCTCCACACGCTACTATCTTGTAATAATTGCAATAAATTAAGAATTTGAATTCTATTTGAACTTTAATTACTAATTAATGATTAGAAATAAGATATTATTTATTATTAATAGAATTTGAAATTCTTAGTATAGATCTAAGTATCTATATATCTAAATCTAACTGAGTATGTATAATTAGTGCAAAGAAGGTAGAATTGTAGAACTAAATAAATGGACTTATTTTTTATGTCCTTATACTCATTATGCTTAGCATTGAATACACTGAGTATTCACCTTATCATGATCCCAAATCAATGATGGGGTCTGTTTGGCGCCTCCTAAATGGGCATCCAAATTGGACCGAACTTATTATCATCCTACGGTCCCTAAAAGTTATAGAATAAGACATTAATTTCTGAGAAGGATCAATTTTTCTGATTGTACGATGAACTACCTTGAAAAACATTGCCATGAACTTCCAATTCCCAAGTTTCTCTTTTCAGTGGCAAAGATTACGGAGAATCTCCATTTCTTGTAACTCCTTTACGACATTGTTCCAACATGGATTAAAGATATTCTAAAGATCAATTAAATTTTTATATTTTAAGACCCTAAAAGTCTGTTATTTTGACCCTCAAGCCGTCATTTTTAGTCTAAAAATGTGTGTGTATATATATATATATATATATATATATATATATATATATATATGCTCCATTTTTGTAACATGAATTATGAGTTAATGAAAGTTTGATAATGAAGTTAATATCTTGTCCTGATGAATCTTATGATCCCTATGCCAACTTGTTTCAGTTGGTTAAGAATCCCCTGCTCTCAATAGAAAATGATTAGTGAAAGTAACTAAGAAAGCTAAAATCTCTTTTTGAAGTCATTATTTATGTGGTTCCAGTTGCATTTCGACCCATTCAGTTACACTTTTTGACCCAATTGATTGATGAGGAATTTACATAGAATATAACTCTTTAAAGACTTAGTTATATTTTTTACAACTGCTTTAATAAAATTACTTTTAGTATAACTTATTTTAAAATGAGCACTTTTTAATTAAATTATATACAACTTTTTAATTCCTAAAATCTCTCTTGATATTCTCTCTCACTTAAAAATATCTCTTTCTGATTCTCACGTATCTATCATTATCAATTTACCCCCAATCTCTCAAATAAAATATACTCCATGATTTCATAACGCATATCCCCTTTTTGCGTGATTTCTCCATGATTCTCACGTATATCTCCTTTCTGTATCGAGATAATATATATGTGTAGAGGCCGATTCATAGAAAACATATTGCTCTACCCAAGTTTTTTTGACAATGTATTATTTTATATTATATATACTATATATTGTGTTATTGTATATATTTATCATATATACATTATATTTGTTTCCCCAAATTTGCTTCTTCTTTATCACTCTATCAGCAAAATGTATTTACTTCTCCCAAGTTTTTAAATAACGTATTTTCATATATTATATATCCTATATATATATATATATA